TACGCTTGTTAAAACTGAAATAAATACGAGCATAAAAACAAGAGTAAAAGAGAAACTAAATTGTGTGGTTTTCATTTGCGTGAAACCACGTTGTGTAAATTAGCGTATATAATACAGTTTGTATTTTATTTTACTTTGCAATCAAATAGATGTGTCTCCATTTTTAATTACGGGATTTTGAGCCTTTGTTTCCCCAATCTTTGTATTTTTCTACACGTGCATCCGTGTTTCAAATTAAATAGTATGCGTAGATCGCATACTTCTGTTGTAGTTCTGTTACGTTTTAAAAGCGATTTTAAGATGCTAGCCTCGGATAGTCGGAGGCATCGGGCATCAATCCGCCGCCATGTTCATTACCGACGAGTCTCCATGCGGTGCGCGTTTGATGGCATTTTTTTACATACAAGGGAAGTGGAAACCGCGCCAAACTATTATCAGACGAGAATTAAGTACGGACACGGCGAAATTGTAAAAACACAAACCAGGATCGGGATCCCTGTCCAAATTTTCTGGGGTGACTCCAATAGAGCTGTTGGTGGCCCATCTTGTCTCTTTTCGCTCGAGCGTCGGAAAGGAAGACAGAGGTCTGCGCGTGCGCCAATGAAATTTTCCGGATCCGGTTTCAGTGAGCAGTCAGGTTGGGCGCCATCGAGTGGTCGGATGACCTTATAGAAAGTACATCCAGCATGAAAATAGGAAGCAACGTATAAAATGATTTCAACGCATTACAATGACTGGTATTTGGAATTGGTCATAATTACATCTACATGGACGAAGAACAAAAGCCCCAAAGCATGATTTTGCCAGCACCGAGCTTTACTGTCGTATTGTGTTCTTTTGGTGATAAGCAGAATCAGCGAAGCTTAAAATGAATTTATGGGATTTTCTGAATTTAAATGGATTTCTTTTTCCCCCAATTAAAAACGATTCATTTTAAATACATTTATGACTTAGCAGTCATGGTTTCTGTCAGAGTGCTTTGCTATTACAGTACTATTATTCTAATTATTATTGTACAGCGAGCGCCCCCTGTTGAGCGAATGAGCGCAGTGCGACGGTATGGTCCCCAAATTGGACATTTTCCCATCATGAGCCGTTAGCTGCTTCTTCCATGCAGCTCCTCGGGAGGGATGGAGCGGAAATGGGACACGGACGAACCGACGTTTCTCTCCTGAAGTGAACGGTGGGGCGCTTTGACTTCAGGTAACCGGCCCGATGAACGCGGGTGTGGCATTTATTTTTCCGACGGTACTGTTTTGAAGGACGGAGTTGCTAGCCGTTGCTAACTTAGTGCTAGCATGCTGCGGTTCAGTGTCTACTACGACGGTAGAGAGAACGTTTTAGGGCTCCACGGGGATTATATGCGTTTGAATATTTTGCTTTACTTGTGCAGTAGGTAAAAGTGGGTTTCAAGAGGAAATGAAAATAAGACAATAAACACACATAGTGTCATGTCAAGTGCCCTCTGATTAGATATTAAATCATAGTTAGAATTATATCATTTGAGAAGCAGTGATGTGGTCAAGCAAAGTAAAATTGGTTCGCTCTTTAAGTTAGATTCTATTGGAGTCAAATGACAAAAATGCCGTCCAAAATCAGCCTGACCAGTTAATCCAATTATATGCATCTCACGGGCTATTAAGAGCGAAAAAGGGGGGTAGGAATGGGGTTTGCAGAGTTATTGCGCAACGTCATCTTATGACCTACTTACCAATAAATATCAAATGCAAACTCGGGTTCTTGGATGGAACACCTGCAGAACGCTGGTCAACCAACATTTTTGTCCGGAACAATTGAAATTCAGGAACGGTTCAAATACTACAGTTCAGCGCTAACTTGATGTATTGATTTGTGTTTCATTCAGGCAATTCATGGTCACGAGAACCTCGCTGCTTCCCAGCAACTGTTGCGCTTTCTTGGCTATTCCCCACCCGTCAGTGGCAGTGGAGCAGGATCCATGTTTCCAGCAATTAGCCTCTCTGCACCTTTTCCACCATCGCAACCACCCTCCTACAATCTGTTTTCTTTCCCCTCCTCCCTCCGAGAGCCCGATCCCCTACAATGAGATTCCGGATCTACAAAAGAAAGGTGATGATACTGACTGTGGTGGTTGTCATCTGCGGGCTGGCGTTGTGGACCAGCGCGCGGCAGAAGAAGATTGAGCCGTTCCCAAAGGAAGCGGAGGTGGAGGCCCTGGCGAAGAGAAGTAGTGGCGTTAGCACGAGCAGAAATAGCCTTGACGACCACGTCCGGTTGCAAGCCACGGTCGGCGTGAGCCGGGTTCCCGTCGCGCCGCTGAACCAGACGCGCCTGGAAAAAATAAAAGACAAAGAAAACAAAGCCAAGCCCAATGTGGATAACGCGACGCTGGTGTACCGCGGCATCGTTTTCCAGCTCAATTTTGACCAGACGATAAGAAATCAGGAGAAGTTTCAAGCGGCGCGGCAGAAGGACGACCTGGTGGTGGTGGTCCAGGTCCACAACCGGCCCGATTACTTGAAGCTGCTGGTGGACAGCTTGCGCGGGGCCCGTGGCGTGGAAAGCATACTGCTGATATTCAGCCATGACTACTGGTCCCCCGAGATTAACAACGTGGTGAACTCGGTGGACTTCTGCCAGGTCCTGCAGATCTTCTTCCCGTTCAGCATCCAGCTGTACCCGCAGGAGTTTCCCGGCAACGACCCGAGGGACTGTCCGAGGGACATTCCCAAAAAAGAGGCCTTAAAGTTGGGGTGCATCAATGCGGAGTACCCGGACTCGTTCGGGCACTACCGCGAGGCCAAGTTCTCCCAGACCAAGCACCACTGGTGGTGGAAGTTACACTTTACGTGGGATCGAGTGCACGTCCTCCGGGACCACGGCGGTTTGGTGCTGCTGATCGAGGAGGACCACTTCCTGTCCCCGGACTTTATCCACGTGCTGAAGCTGATGTCGGCGCTAAAACGAGAGCACTGTAGCGACTGCGACATCCTGTCACTGGGGAGCTACAGCCACATCGCCTACTCCAGCAAAGCCAACAAGGTCGAGGTGAAGGCCTGGAAGTCCACCGAGCACAACATGGGCATGGCGCTGAGTCGGGACACCTACCAGAAGCTGCTCGGCTGCACGGACACGTTCTGCACCTACGACGACTACAACTGGGACTGGTCCCTGCAGCACCTGACCGTGTCCTGCCTGCCGTCCTACTGGAAGGTGATGGCCAGCGAGGCGCCTCGCGTCTTCCACGCCGGCGACTGCGGCATGCACCACAAGAAGACCGCCTGCATGCCGGCCAGCCAGAAGAGCAAGATCGAGAACATCCTGCAGGGCAGCGGCAACCAGCTGTTCCCCAAGAATCTCTTGATCACCAAGCGGCTGCCGTCCAACGGGGCCGGAGGCGTGGCCCCGCATGTGAAGAACGGGGGGTGGGGGGACATCAGGGATCACGAACTTTGCAAGAGTTATGTGCGATTACAGTGACCTTAATTGCTACAATATCATATATCGTCCTCTTTTTTGCATCCTCAATGAAGAAGAAGGCCTTTGAAAAATAAAAATCTATGTGGACTTATTGCCTGTTTCAAAAGACTGTCCCCCCCAAAAAAAATAAAGTTGAACATTGGGATTTTTGCCTCATGACAGATCGTTTGTCTTTATTTTTAAGTCAGGTTTGTCGTATCTCTCGCTTGCGCAGCCGTTACGCCTTGAAGATAACTCGATGAACGTCGACGGGTCGGCTTACATCGTTTTTGAGCATGGGAGCAAGGTGGATTTAAGGTGCGTGAGCTCGCGAGAGATGCGCCCGTAACTCCTGGCTTGATGCGGCAAGATTGCCCGAATTTGGAAATGAGATGCCCAATAATTGGTGATCGATGATGTAACTCTATTTTTGGGAGAAAAGAATATAGACAGAGTTGTGGTTATAGTCTGTCAAACATTTTAATAGGCGTCACATGGAGGAAAAAGGCTGCCACTGTTCAAAACCTCACAGTCTCTCTACCTGTGGGCGGTAGATGGGGAAAAAAAAAAAAAAAAAACATCCTCACGCACTGTCCAGCTCTCGCGTGAATCAAACACAGTGTTGCTTTTAAAAAAATATTTCAATCACCATCATCATCGTATGCACGCCGCTCACACTAAAGAGGAGTTGTTAGCTTGGGAGTCGATTCACACAATAGGCCAGCGCGCGTTTCTGCAATTTCACCTGAGCTCGGCATGATGGCTGAACAAGAGCGTTTGCCACTTGCCGTTAAGATAAAAGCATCTCCTATAATTATAACACCAAACGTTGCGGTAAAAAAAAAAAAAAAAAAAAAAAAACAAATACCCCTGAATTCTCTTTATGTACAACGGAAATGGGGGAGAAAAAAAATCTGCATATTCAAGATTTTCATTTTCATATTAGATTTTCTGTATTAGAAATAGGCTCTATTTTTTTGTCCTAAAAAAAAAAAAAAAAAAAAAAAGAGGCTCTTTCAACTGTTCATCATCTCCATAAATCATTACAATATTTACATATAATACAGAGCCCATGTCATGTGGAAAACAATATTAAAATTAACAATAGGTATAAAGTTTTACTTCTATTTAACACCCCCTCCCCCGCCCAAAAAAGTACATCTGCCCTCTTTGAAAAAAAACAAAACAACCTGTTAAGTGCAAACATCGTTTTCCGAAATAATAATAAAATGAACGCGATTGCAGCATCCAACGTGGGAGACAAAGGGCGCCGACGAGCCAAGTGCTTTCAAAATCTGCTTGTGTTCTTCTGCGAGGATTAAAAACACACGCGCACACACACACACACACACACACACACACACACACACACACACACACACACACACACACACCAGGGAGGAATTTGTGCAAATACACTTTGTGTGATTTAAGGAAGTCGTACCTCCATTAGCGGAGGATATGCAGCCACTTGAAAATATTGATCCCTTTTCGAGGCCCATCACATAAAATCAAGAAAATGGGAGAACGCCCCAACGAGACGACGGCGAGGCCTGATAAGAGCCGCCGCCGCCGTCGGATGAACAGTGAACCAGTCAGCCCTTCCTATAAAAACCTTAAAGCTCCTCGCCCCTTTGTCAAATAGCACCCATTTCACTGCAGACTCAAGGCGGCACGGTTCCGCCGCCCACCACGTATTGATCATCACCCACCACCTCTGTGGATGTTGGGAGGGGGGGGTGGTTATACTACGGTTCCACTGGGCGAGTTGGCGGGGTTGTTTTGAGACGATAGCAGTCCCTGCGGAGACACGCGCCACAGACAAAACGGCGGGTGTGAGAGCGAACAAAAATTCACGAGGGTATTCTCATCACGTGACCCGTCACTCACCACTTTCCCAGGCCTGGCCCACGTGCAAACGAAGCCCTCCTGGCAAGCCGTGACCAGGCAGTCCTCCAGGAAGATCAACACCGTCAGTCTCTCATGGGCGATCTTCTTGCACACCAGCGGCTCCAGCAGCGGCACGTCCTCCATGCGCGGGCACAGCGCCGTGCCCAACGTCTTAGCGTTGTCGCCCTTGGTGCCGGCCGCCCGCGAGGCGCCCAGCTGGCTGAGCTTGTCGCCGCTCTTGCTGCCGATATGGCCGGCGCTGAGCATGCGCTTGTGCTCTTTTTCGGAGCGCTCCTTGCGCGCCTCGTGCAGCGACAGCGTGGCGAACTTGCCCACGCCGGCGGCGATCAGGGCGCTGTCGAGGATGCTGCCGCTGCCGCCGCCCTTGGTGGGTGCGGCGGTGCTACTGCTGCTGCTGCTGCTGCCCGTGTGACTGTTGGGGGTGCTGCCGCCACCGCCGCTGCCGCCGGCCGGGATGGAGGACTGCGGTAAGCTGTTGGAGCGAGGCAGCGTCCCCGGGAGGGAGTTTGGCGTGTTGCCGCCGGTGCTGCTATTGCTAACGCTGTCTTTGCCATTGGTGCCGGAAGTGAAAATAATGTTTGCCGCCGTCGCCGGCGGGCTGGCGGCATTCATGACGTTAGTGTGAGTCCTCGTCCGAGACAAAGGGAGGTGAGGGAAGAGTATGTCCTCGCTGAGGTCCCACAGACACAACTGGGTATCCTGACCAACGGACCCAAATCGGTACGTCACGCTGACAGGCCGACTGTCCGTGGAGTTTCTCTTGGAAAGTCGGGAGTGGGTGCTGTTGGCCCGATCCCTTCCTGCGCTAAAGTGAATATGCTCGTAGAAGTCCTCGTCGCTGCCGCTAAACTCGGCGGGGGGCTCGCCATCGATGCCGTCCTCCACGCTGGCAGTGCAGTGGTCGAAGGCCACCACGCTCACCCACGACTTGTGTCCATGTCCCCGAGCGATCACCCTGCAGTCCGAGAACGACCACACCGTCACCAGGTCGTCCTCGCCGCCGGCCACAATGTAACGCCCATCGGGGCTCCAGCACACGCAAAGCAAACCGCCAAAGTAGCTCTTCATGGTGCCGTGCAGCTCGGCGGCGTCGAAGCCGAACACCCGCAGGTAGCCGTCCTGGCTGGCGCACGCCAGGAACTTACCATCCGGGGAGAAGGCGAACTCGTTGAGCGCGCCGTCGCCCACCGTCCAGCGCAGTAAAGGGTTGCGGCCCGACTTGCTCTTGCAGGTGTGCACGGCGTAGTTGTCCCCTTGCTTGAGGAGCTGGTAGTGGGGCGCCGCCGTGCCGCACGTGTTCTCCACATTGTACAGGTACATGGAGCCGCTCGAATGGGCCACCAAAAAGAGGCTCTCGGAACCGGGGACCCAGCGCACGCACGTCACGCGCGACTTGTCGATCAGTCTCTGGGGAGGCGAAGGAGCAGTTGTCAAGGACCACCCTTTTCTCGCTAATACCGAACAATTTATCCAACGCAAATCAACATCGTCATGAAGTACAATGCAATTTTCAAATCCCACCTCTTCATTGAAGAGCTTGCTCGTCTCCTTCTTGATCGGGTCGATGAGCTGCACCTGGCCCGCCGAGAAGCCCACCAGCAGCGAGACGCTCTCGGCGGTGGCCGTGAGCGGGTTGAAGTCGTGGCACGTGGGCTGCGTGCCTTTGTATAGCCGCTTGTCGATGGGCTTGCTCAGGTCGGCGGCCTGAAAAGCACGAGAGATTCAACTAAAACCTTTTTTCTTTAAAGCCTCTTCCTGAAACAAGAAACGGACTGACAAGGAAACCCATGTCGTCAATTAAATTCAGTTCGATTTAATTTGTTTTTAGAGCAGGGATGTTGGATTACTGTTCAAAAGCTGAGACCGATAAGTAGGCAAACGCTCATATTTTTGTCGCTCACATGAGGTGACATGAACGCAACGTGACGTCACTACAACTACCACTCTCACTTTTGACCTCAAGGTTGAGAGTAACCACCTGACATTTCGGCAATCGCGTCATGCCGTCATCTCATTCTCTGCAAACATGTCAAATATAAACATAGCATTCGCGGCATGGCGGTCACTCATAACTGTTGAGAAAGTCCCACAGTGAGACGAGCTCACTTTAAGTGTTGAACAACTGTGGCGATTATATTAGCGAGAGTTGCTAATTAGCGTCAAAAATAGTTGGACGCTCCATGGCCTCGTCCGGACAATATGCGACACCAGCCGGGTCGAGAGCGGAGATGGACCGGAGACGCCGAGCCGTTGCGGTTGCTCCAGAGCCAACGCGTTCAATACCAGCTACTGTCAACGTTGTTTACCTTTCTCACACCTTTGTAGATATAAAAGTAGAGCTCCCGGCCCACATTGAAGCAGATCCTGTCGCCATTGCCCGACTGGTCGTTGACGTTGACGAAGGAGACCCTTACGGGGTTGGATCCCTGCGAGTTGAAGGGTACCCGATTAGGGCGGCTGTACTCGGAGTGCGTGAGGAGCTTGTAGACGCCTTCCCGGGTGGTGAATTGCGTTTTAATCTCGTTCGTCTCCTTCCCTCCTCCCTCCGCCGCCATCTTGAAAATCGCCGCTCATCCTTGTCTAAGGCCCCGGATATTGCGGACGACGCATGTGCATTTCAGACCAACTGTCATGCGCACTGGGTGGTCACAGAAAGTCACGTGAGACGATAGACGAAAAATAAACAATGACCAGGTGACGATGCAGGTACCAGATCAACGATTGGCTGTCCTCAATACTGTACTGAAATTATAAATAATATCCCAACAAGATATCATCCAAATTCGTACATTTTAATTGTGATCTTGATATTGAGGCTGAAGTTATCCCTTACAGATATTTGTTTTCATTTTCATTCATAGTTTCATCGTGAGCTCACAATGCCAACAAATATGTAATAGAGTTTCAGGAGAAGCTGAGGAAAATAAAAAAAAACAGGTGTCAATATCGACTTGAAATCTTTTCACCAAATGTTTTGCAGGGTACATTTTATGTATACTTTTGAAAGAAACCTCTCTAATTTTGTTGGTGATCAAAAACTATGGCGCCTACAGGTAAACACTGTACCCAACTTACTGCTAACAACTTTGAAGACATCTCTGATGCTAATTATGTGACACACTTCGTTAAACATGTTTCCATGATCAAATCAAAACAAACATTCTTCGAAATATTGCAAATCTTTCTTTAAAAAAATACACTTATTTTTGTTTGCAATCCGTTTTTTGTGTTGATTTATTTAAATGACATTTTTGATTGATTGCAAATACTATAAAGACATATTTCTCTCCATACATTGTACTTAATTAGCCGCTAGATGGCAGAATCAGTATTTCAGCCGGTTGTGTACTTCCTGAATCCCCGATTACTTTTTTTTCAATTTTGTAATATATATATCACCTCGGTGTGAGTCTTTGTATAGTAATGTAATGTAATTTTTTGAAGAATATGTCGTTTTTTTTGTGTGTGTTTTTCTTTTAATTTTCATTACCTAGGTCAAAGTTCACAGGCTGTCCACTCAAAATGGCGGACGAGCCAGTACGTGAGTGGAACGACGAGCAGCTTAAAAGTGACGATTTGCCCAAAAAAGACCTGATCAAGTTCATTCAGGACAATGCGGCGCACTCGGTACGTCTGTCAGTTGAGTATTCAGAAGCCGCAGTTGTCGTTTTAAAATTGCATTTTGACGAGAATATGCCTCATTCGCGTGATGCAGTGTAGCCTGTGCAGCCCCACATGGGGGCGGAAATCACTGTTTGCAAACAAAGCGGCTCCTGCATTTCACATATAACCTCCCGTTTTCTCAAATAACACCTTATTCTGTGTTTAGTTTCTCAACGAGCACAGATTGCTGGGAAATATCAAGAACGTGGCAAAAACGGCCAAGAAGGAACAGCTCATTGTCGCCTACAACGAGCTGTTTGCCAGTAACGTGAGTGACGTCACACTGACGCGCGTTTGGATGCATATGAAATGCGCACCGCTCTTTGGGGGGAAAAAAACTCATTCTACTCGGTATTTTGTAGAGGTTTAAAGGCACAGAGCCGGTGGAAGAAGTGACCAAGCAGGTGAAAGCAGTCAAAATCGATGAGAAGCCCAAAGAGGTCAAGGTTGAAGTTGTGGATGAGGTAAAGACCCAGGCACTTGCAGGGTAATTTTCTGTACAATTATCGTAAGTGCAGGTTTTGCTTCCCTTCAGGGTCCGCCCAAGTTTACCAAAGCAACACTGAAGAAAGGCGACAAGACCAACTTCCCGAAAAAAGGCAACACGGTGAGCTGTTGGTACACGGGGACGCTGGAGGACGGCACCGTCTTTGACACCAACATCCCCTCAGGTGCTTATCTGCACTCGGTCGCCGTTCATGTTGACTTTGCTATGCGACCAACCAGACCTCCTTGCTTTGTGATCTCCGCAGCGGCCAGAAAGAAAAAGCAAACCAAGCCGCTGAGCTTCAAAGTGGGCATGGGCAGAGTCATCCGAGGGGTATGTGTGTTATTCCCGTTGCTGTTCTCCCCTTTTTGTCTTTTATATTTAACGTTGTCGCATTCCCATAGTGGGACGAGGGCTTGTTGACCATGAGCAAGGGCGAGACGGCCCGCCTGGAGATCGAACCTGAGTGGGCGTATGGGAAGAAGGGCCTCCCAGAATCCAAGTATCTTTTTTGGGAAGTAGATGTGAAGTCATTAGAAATTGGGAGGATGGGTCTTAACGCAATGTGATGCTTGAAAAAGTCTCAAAAAGGACCTCTACGTGTTTTGGGAGGCCTCAACATGCCTCGAAAATTACTAGTTTTGTCAAGCATGTACACAGGTAAAAGTACATTGACATGTATTTTACTGCCCGTCTGCTCCTTAACTTTTTTTTCTCCAGAATTCCACCCAACGCCAAGCTGATCTTTGAGGTGGAGCTGGTGGCTGTGGATTAAAGATGAACGTTGGTAACCGGGAATCCAAACTACGTAACCATTTCGTTGTCAATGTAATTCCCTGCACACCCGAAATATCTTTTTGTTTGCATAAAATTTAACTTTTACAAACAAGACTGTCGTTTTATTTTTTCCTTACATACACATTTAGGTCGACTGAACCAAATCCTATCTGATAAAGATGTCTAAGGGATGCATACTAACTAGTTCTTGCCTAATATTCTACCGTGACCCACCAAGCGTTGCTCCAGAAGACGAACGCTCCATTACGGTGTGCCGAGTTTTAACGTTTTATTCACAGCAGGAAAACATTTGAACTGTGCCAAAACGGCTCGGTATGGTCATCACGCACTCTTCTTAGGAGTTGGCATTGGGTCCCTTCTTCTTGCCAAAGGTGGGCACCACATTGACGAAGCGTCGGTTGTACTGGATGCGACGCTTGGCGCGGCCAGTCTTCTTCTTCTTCTTCTCCTGCTTATCCACCTGCCACACAAAAACAAGCCAAATGCAAGACTCGTAAAGTTGTTCCGAACATCACATTTCAGAAATGTCATCCGTTCACAGTCCTGATATAGTAGCCCTGAATTTCATTTTAACAATAAAATATTGTTATCCATCTTTCATGCTTTACAGAAACATTTCATGGCTTATAACTAGCATTGTACAACCAAACAAACACTCAAATTTGGCTATACAAAGGGTGAATTCAAGTGATAATTTTTTTTTTTGTGGTGTATATTCTGGAAACAATCCTCACCTTGGGGGTCTGGCCTCTCACTTTTCCAGCACGGGCCAGAGAGCCGTGGACCTTACCTAGAAACCAGGGGAAAACGGTTAAAAAAAAAAATGGCAGGGGGCTCACTGCTGCAACGTCAAATATTTCAACAGTGACCTCCCAGGAGCCTGCCGGCGACCTCCAAGGTGCAGTGCTCAGAAATGCCGCACGATGCAAGTGAGGCATCATCTTCCAAGGGGCAACCTGCGAGCAGCACCACCTGATCCTCCACGAGGAGACCCTCCAGAGTCTGGACGTGAGCCTGACGTGTGGCAAAACAATCTATTGTTGCCCAGTATCACAAAATATAACCATGCGATCCAACAGTGTGACTTGCATTTATTTATTTCTACCTTAATTTGTCCCACAGTTTCCTGACCGGTCACCTCAAGGGTGTGAGTGTTCTGGGCACGCAGGAAGAGCTGCATCTTGATCCTAAGAAGAGAGGCTGCAATTTAATTGGGTCAAACTATGATTATACATGATAACTGTAGCAGACTACATTAGGTAAAAAGAAAACAGTTTAATCCCTGATGTACAAATGTATTTATATTCCATGTATTTTTAAATATAGATGTAAATGCACAGTTCAGAGAGTAAGAAATTGCGGGAGAAGGTTGGTTTGATAGCCAAACAATAAAATATTTGACTACAAATTGCAAGTCTGTTATTGTATTCTCTTTGATCCCGATTACATCTTTCAAGGAGAAAACTGGACCGATAAAACACCAGCAACTCGCGCTTTTGGTCGACCCTTTTTAGATTTTACCATTTAAATTGTCACTTGGCTGAAGTTCACTAGGCTTCGTTAGGGAAGAAAATTAAAACCAGCAACATTTGGCACATGTAAATAACAAACGAAACCGAGAAAACGTCCTTTTGGGGCAGGAAGAGAGAAAAGTTGTCGCTGTAAGGCTAATGCTAAACTACCTCAACTAGCAACATGCGGCACACGAGATTGGAAGGAGGGCGAAAAGGGGACACTAAACACACAAATTATAACCAGTCTAGTCAACGTGAAGGTTAAATAATATGTTAGAGGGTGTTTTGGGTGCATCTGCGACACACAATAAAAGCCAGCTCCAGGCTAAAACGCACTTTTACCACTCGATACCGACAGGCCTTACCTCGTTTGGGTGCTAGTCGTTAGACGCGCAGCATAGAAAAGGCTGTTCTTAGGTGACGATACTGCGCATGTGCCATATACGTAAATTGCGTATCGACAGACGGAGTTCCCCCCGCCCATATGTCGTCGCCACATTGGATGTGGCGGAGTTGCACTATATACGCACATACTTAATCCGAGAGAGAGTAGACATCTGAAGTTTTGTCTGCACTTAAATTTATGAGAGCCTTCGTATGCCTGCGGGCCTCTCTCACATCCGGGGAATTTGACGGTTAGTAGCAGCCTTAGTGGTAAGTACCTAAACTCCCAACTTCATTGTAACATTTCATCACACTATCAAGTCATGAGGCACTTTCACATTGCCGTTTTAATAGGCACATGACATTAAAGCGAGGTAAAAATCAAAACCGCAGGCCCATGTGTGCCTTCATGAATATTGTAATATTTGGAGCATGCAAAAATACTTCACAAAATGCTTTCTTGTAACTTACTAGTTGCCCACAAATGACAAGGAATAACATGAAGCAAGGACACACTAAGATATCAATCTGTTTATTATGAAATCAAGTTGAGAAAACAAAGGTAAACAGGAACTCTTCATTTTGGGTTCACTGAAACACATTAAAAATTCAGCAAATTTAAAGAGACCCTCAAGGAGAGTGAAAAACTTTGCCTAGAGCACAGGGTGGGTGGGCGATAGAAGCAAACCTCTCTTTTCAAACAACATGCATCATGTGTATACTTTTAGATCCCCAACAGGAGCTACGTGGACTGTACAGTGATCCCTCGCTACTTCGCGGTTCGTTTATCGCGGGTTCAGTGCATCTCGGATTTTTTCAAACATATAAAAAAAAATTTTTTTTTTATACATATACATGGAGTATAGTACTGTATATGTTGCTCTATGTGACTCGCTGTTGTTTTGCAGCTTCTCGCAGACCGTTTGCGGACTTAAAAAAAATTTTTTTTTTTTTACCTGTTTATGTTAATTGGACGCTACTTCGCGGATTTTCGTTTATCGCGGGTGGTTTTGGTCCCCATTAACCACGATAAACGAGGGATTACTGTATTTGAGAAAAATTAGCTGGAGTCAAAACAGAAAATAAATCTTTTGGAAACGCGGTGCTGGTTGTCTTAATTTGAAAAGCTAGACACATTCTCCCATGAGAGCTCACGATCACGGTGGTGGCCATCATGTTGGAGGAGGAGGGTAGTACTGGTTATACTGGGCGTATTGGTTGTACTGGCCCCACGAATTTTGGCCCCAGGCGCCATACTGTTGCTGAAAAGGAGAAGAGAGACATTTTGAAATGTGAGAAGGATGTGTGTTTGAGACAAAGCACAAATTTTATATGGAAAAAATTATCCCAGCAGTCCACCCCCCCATCCCAAAAAGGGAAAAAATGAGATCGTCTCAATTTACAAACCTACTGTTCAGTTGAAAACAAAGCTATTGTTCTGTTATATGAATGGCAACCTGGTTAGACAGGTTTATGAACAGCATTCAACTGTTCTGGCTCTGGTTGACTCGCTGGCATAGATGCGAACGGATATATGGTGCAGTATGAAAATAGAAAAGAAAAAAAAGGTAAAACCCCACCTGGTACCAGTTGTTGTAATTGTACGCGCTGTTGGCTTGCATGTCAGCCCCGGCGGCGGCCATGGAGCCGTCGTCCACGCGCTGCCGCTTGGCATCGGGTTCCTGAGAACTGTCGTAGCCATTCTCCGCATTCCTCTTTGATAAGTCGACTTCCTTCTGCAGGTTCTGGTGTTCCTCGTAAGCGGCCACCAGGCTGAAACGACATTTCCACGACGTCAGGTCTCCAGGGCCAGAGGTCACGCTGCGTTTGATTATTCGAAATCTGATTTTTAGCCATTTTGGATAAAGGCACAATTCTGATTGGAAACCATCTTATTGCCTCTTATCTTTTTATCTGGTTATGAGGCTATGATGCACATCACAGTTGTGCCACTTGCAAAAAAAAAATAATTGAAAAAAATTTGAGAATTAGTATCCAGCCTAAGATAGCGCTCAACGAAGGCAGTTTGCTCAAAACTCACGCGTGGATATCGCTGCCAAAGTCCTCGAGGAATTCCACTTTGCGCTGGGCGAAGAGGAGGCGCGACTCCATCTCCATGGGGCTCTTCAGGGCCCGGTCGAAGCAGGCCAGAATCTCAGGCTGGTTCTGTGTCACGTCGCCGCTGAACTCCAGCTCCAGCAGGTTGAGGTACAGCCTTGGACACGTCTGAGTGAGAAAAGAAGCCCGCAGACCGTATGTGGACTTTGTTATTCCTCATTTTGCGGCCTTACTCTTAGATAATGAGCCACGTAAAAAAATCTACATCATGAGGAGAGATGCACCAATAGCAGAGGTGTGGCTTTCGTTACCTGATCTCGCTCGATGGCGTCCAGCAGCACTTTCCTGGCCTTGCTCAGGCTCTTCTGCACCTTGAGGAACTGCCGCGCCAGCTTCACGGCATAGAAGGACGTCTCCAAGGCGGTCTTGGAGGACTCCACCGCCTCTTTCAGAAGCGCCTCCGCCTCATCCAGTTTGCCGCGCCGGCGCTCCAGGCTGACCCGCCGCAGACGCACCATGGCCAGGTTGGGCACCACCGTCTCCAGGGTCTTGAGGATGATGCTGGCACCTTCGACGTTCCCTGTGGAGGGGGACCAGGAAGGGCAGGGAAAAAAAAGGGGGGGCCGGGGGGGTGAGCAGGACGTTTTAGGAGTACATACTACAAAAAATTGAGTGTTTGATTTGCGCCACTCACCCTGCTGTTCCTCAAAGCCAGCCCAGAGTAGGTGAATGGCGGGCTTCCTGGGCAGGTGGACGGTGCAGGCCTTCCGGTAGACGTGCCGAACGCCGTCCGTGCTGAAGGCCTCCAGGTATTTGGCGTACTTTTTTTAAGTGTGAAAAGGAGAGAAAGTGGGAAAGGAGAGCAAGCAGAGGACAGGAGAGCAGAGAGGGAAAGAAAGGCAAAGAAAACAGACAAGACCAGACGTTTGACATTTCCCGCTTCTCCGATCCCGGTGAATGTCGTCATTGACAAGATCGTTCTTAGAATTTTTCTGTGTAAACCCATCAGCACCTTCATGGAACCAATTAGATAAGATTCTGTAAGGTAGTGGGAGACGAAGAAGATGCAGTTGGCAAATGCTGCAGTCAAATCTTGTGTGGCAAGCTGGCCATCCCCTAATACAACAGATACAGTCACATATCAACGTTACACGCAAAGAGAGTGCAGGACGTTTTTGTGGTTGTTTTTGTGGTTGTTTTTTTTTTCGTTTTACTCCATGTGATTGTCATCGATGGTTGGGGGGGAAGTGCAGGGAAGCGGCGAGAGTAGAAGTGGTGTGGAGGGGGAGGAAAAAAAAAAACAAACAACAACAAATGAAACGCTTTGATACCTTGATCCAGAACTCTTCATATAGAGCACAAGCGATGAGGCAGCGTTCAAAGAGAACAACCACACGCTCCGGAGTGCCGTTCTCCATCTCAAAGTCCAGGTATTCCCGCCAGTTGTTCAGCTGCGTCTTCTCCAGGGCTTTCACGTGGAAGTAGGGCCTCTTGATCTTAAAAAAAAAAAAAAAGTTCTGTGTTACACATCAGGAACACATTCACATACACATTCAGATGATTGAAGCTGGCGATGTCATACCCCTTCCTCAAAGGCCCAGCGCTTGCTGACTTCGTGCTCGTTGAGGTTGAACACTTCCTGTCGAGCCTCGATGGCTTTGTGGCGCATGTTCTCGATCTCTGTCACTCTCTATGCGAAAACACAGAGGAAATGTACACTGTTGGCCGGCTTGACCACAATCACCCGTTCCACTTGATGTAATTAGCTGCCGGTGGCGGTCCCGCAGCCATAGATTTACATCACCAGAGACAAGAGGCCTGCAGAGGGGGGGTGTATATATGCACCCTGCATATCAACCTCTAGGTGGAGGTGCTGCGGGTCAATGGGCCTCGGTTGTTCCTTTTAGTTTAAGGGCGAGTGTCCCTGACAGGATGCCAGCGTCAAGCCCCCCTTGGCTGTCTTTGGCTTTGCTGCCGACATAAAGACAACTCTTCAAACTCTTCTCTTAATCCACATCACGGTCATGGTGGACAACAGGCAACCTCCATCTAACGCCAGATAATTTTTTTTTTTGGGTTGTGCTTTCGGAATTCTTCTCTTGGTTCTACCTGGACTCTTACCTTGGCGGGGTCAGCGAGATCCTCCGTGCCGGGCGGCAGCTCCTCCTGGTTGGCGGGCGTTTCTCCGTCTTCTCCCACCATGGTGGCCAGGTTGGCTTTGGAGAGCTCCAGCCTGAACTTGACAAACTCCTCCTCCGACAGGAAATGTTTGGGGTTGTTGTTCTGAACGTGATCTTTAAACCTGCAAGTGTCGAGTTGAGATTTGTATCACCATAAAGTCAAAAAAGGTCAGATTTGGGCTGAGTAATTGATTGCTTCATTTCAGTATATGTCAGGACGATTTTGTGCGGGGCAAACAAATCAAAATGCAAGTTGCCAATGTCAACCCTCGCTCAAATCATTCTGGACCTTTCCCTTACTTTTGTAAGTGCTGCGAGTAGAGCTGCGTGGGGATGCCCAGGATGCGGTCGTAGATGGCGGTGACATTCGCAAGCTTTCCCTGTTCCGTCTCCCAGATGACGAAGGACTCCCAAAGGCGGTCTGAGCGGAAGTCTGTTCCAGCGGCCAAAACGGCATGTTCGTACGCCCTGGGGAGGAAAGAAAGACGCATTTTGCTTTGGGCATTTTGGACTCTGGAGACAAAAGCAGCAGTAGGGCTTTTAGTATAGCCAATGATAAACATTTTGAGGGAGGCATCTACCACTTGAGTAATTGTGAAAGTGTATGGTGACAGGGTCAGAAATACAGGAAAATTGTGTGAGGCCATGATTTATGTTATCCATCCATGATCTCAACCGCTTGTCCACACAAGAGGTGTTAACTGAGTTTGTCTTGTGCCGTGCGACCACACATTTTCACACCGTAGCGCAAACGTTTTCTGACACGCCATTTGTAACCTCACGCGAGGACCTTGATGGCAAACTTGATGAGGTTTCAACTTACGCTCGAATCCGTCCCTCTGTCTCTGGGTCGCTCGTGTCAGAGTTCTCCTTGATGTAGGTCATGTAGTGCAGCCAAAGGTCCACGCTGAGCGGGATGGCCTGCAAGCCTCGCCGGTACACCTCTTCTGCCACATGAATGTAGCCGTGCCTTTTCTCAATGTCCGCGTACTTCTTCCAGTACCCGTAGCAGTATGGATAGCGCAGAAGGAAAACGTCAAATGATTTCCTCACTGCTTCGAGGATATTCTGAAGGGAGAACAGGGTTACAGTGCGTCATTTTCTAGATGCCTCCATTGTCAGTGATGAGGCGTCTGTATTTTCTTTACCTCTTGCTCGACATATTGCAACAGGTAGACCCAGGCGTTGAAGTCCTCCGGGTTGTCTTCGCATCCTCTCAAGAGTTTTTCAAACTCGCTGGGGAGCTCCGGCTGTGTAGGAAGGATGGCTTCTTGAACGGCGACTTCTTGGGCGGCAGCTTCGTGAGCGACGGCTTCTGGAGCGACATCTTTGGTGGCCTCCTCAAGCTCCATGCCGTCGTCGGCGGATTGAGACGCCTCTGTGCCATCTGCAGGAAAAATTTAAAAAGAGGGCATTAGTCAACCTTTCATACTGTACCACAGTACAAACACATTTGAGGGCACATTTGTCTTTTTACCTTGATTGGTCACTTCTTGTGTGTGCGGCTGACCTTCCAGGGACTCTGCTTTTTGCTCCGGCGGCTGTTCCGAGGGCTGCGGTGGAAGCGGCGGAGGTGGCGGTGGCTCTTCCGGATACAGTGATGCATTGGCGACCTGAACCTGTTCCACGCTTTTCTCCACAGGGGCCAGCTCCGGAGGAGGGGGAGGAGGCGGAGGCAACGGCGGATTGGGGTGGTCTCCTGCCCCAGAAACTGAATCCATGCTGGGCTGTGGGGGGGCTTGCTCCATGGTCCAGTCTGCGGTTTGGTTTAGAGCAGGAGGGTACACTTCTCCATTCGACTCCATGGCACGGGGCTCTGATTCTAGCATTCCAGTGATGGGTTCTTCTGAGATGTGAAGGCCTGCTGGCAACAATCAGTCTAGTTTCACTCTTAATTAAAATGACACCTTTTTTCAGACAGCTTAACTAATGTCTTCTGATCTCAGACTGGCATGGGTCTTGCACTGTCTAATCTTAAATTTATCCACCAGACAATTTTCCATTTCGTTACTACATGCAAAACAACCTGTAAAGTGCTCACTGTTGCAACCACAAACGTTTCACTTGCTCTACTAGTACATTTAATTCTGCTGAATACTAGCCCCAGCGTATAACAATAGTCTTCTTTAATTTTCTGGAGACTCGTTTTACATTTTGATTACAATGTGGAACATTGTAGGCCGAAGTGTTCGGACGTTAAGGACGACATATTGTTTGGAGTTGGCCGAACTAACGAATAAAAGTGAACGTTCACCCTAATATATGTACATATAATAGTGTGTCAACTGAGATAAGGGCTTAGTATGGACGACTTTTGGACTAATTAGCGCAAACAACCCTGCCGGTAAACATGCAAAGTTCAATCTTAAGTCGGGCCTTCGCTGACGTCTATTTCCTGGAGCCACCGCCGCAGTTAATGTGAGTGCAAGTTGGCTTCCTATCGGCCTTTTAGTTCAAAACGAACGCGCTGTACTTTAGGAGGCGTAATGCAAACCTACAATGTTGCTTTTAAGAGCAATTGAGCCACTAAATGGTCGTTGACCTTTGTATGTCTACAAACCGACACCATGCTGAAATACGCCATTTGGCGGCGACGCCGCCTCTTCTTCCAGGAAATAGTCTTACCCCGCGGCTTTTCTACATGCGCTAGCCCCGCACTAGCGAGCATGACAAACTGCGGTCTTTTTGATACGCCAGAGCAACCATGTGGACAAAACCCGGTTTAGAATCTTACCAGGGGCTTCCATGTACTCTTTTATCGAACCTGAAGTGTCTTTCTTTGCCACGCTATCTAAACTACGACGGTGCGGCGTGCTTCGTCCACCATCTTTTTCTCAACTGGCAAAAAACAAACGGGCAGTGCGCATGCTCAGGAGAGTCGGGCCGAGTCTCGAAACGTCGACAGTACGTCGCGTGCACGTCCCGAGCACTTTCGACACATTCTGTGTCATGTTCTGAACTCAATTAAACACAAAAACCTGACGCGTCACTTCACAACAGTACAAACGTGAAGAATTGATTGAATCGCCGTTAAGAGGTTTAATCGCTTATTTGAAAAATAATACACATTACCTTCAAAATATGTTATTAATCTTTTCTAAGAAGTGGTTCGAATGGTCTGGACATACCCTTGTTTTACACATTATGTTTCCATACTAGGGATATTCAAGTTATGCTGTAATAAGGGTTTTTTTTTTCGTGACGAAACAGCTCCTGCTCACACATGCCACGAGCGTATGCAACCGCTATCAATGAAATGGGAAAGTAAACACATAAATAAACATAGGCAGCGTGCTTCACCCCGCGCTAAAATATGCTTAAAGGTCACCCAAAAATAACTCGATGTGATTTAACATGTAAAATTTGTTTTGTACACGTGGCATTTTTAAGACGCCGAAAGACGATTTAAAGGCATTAGCCTGGTTGTTCGTGAGGCTTTATGTTGCTGTCTTTACAAAGGTGTTTCATGTTTATACTTCCTATTTTCTTGAAAGGAAAATGACTTTTTCCTTTTTCCTTTCACACACATTCAATTATATAGGTATGTTCAGTTTGTAATAATAACTTCCCCTATGTCTGGTGGGTGCAACCCGTTCTCCACAATACGGTTGCTGCTTTCCTAGATCACCTACCTCTTGGGAAGCATTGGTACAGTCAATCAAAACTATGCAAGGAATACTTTTTCATAAATCCACTGTATTGGATCTCGGATTGTGTATGAGCTGACCATGTATCAAAATCGGTGTTGACATCATTGATGTAATTCACCACACCGTTGAATCATTTGAAAACACGTTCGCAAAAAAAAAAAAGTCAGTGTTATCAAAAGACACATTTTATTGTTTGTTCTTCACTATTATAAAAAAGCTGTTGATAGAGGAAAGAAAAAAAAATAAGAGTCACATTCCTGAGAGCACATATTGATCACAGTAGATGTCAGACGAGCTTTGAGAGGGAACATCAGCATGTGTTATGGGATGGACTCGTCTCATCCTGATGTCTCCATAACATGTGACACAAACGTATATCGGACGGTGTCAAACTTTGTCATCTACCTGAGATAGCCACGTCTTGCTCACACACTCACCGAGCAGTGAATGGCTTCAAACAATATATATTCACAATGTTCCTGTGAGCAACACAGACGTGTGCATGTTGACGCACTGCAGCGCGATCTAGCCACAAAACTGGAAGAACTGCAACACTGCAACCACATCTTTGCACCTTTTCTGAACAACAAATATTCCAAACCATCTTATTCGAGATGAGAAGAACATGGGTTGAGCGAGAGCAAGGATAACTATAAGAGGAAAGCATCTCCAAATTTTGTGTTTTTTTTTTTAATAGCATCTCCAAATTTTGTGGTTTTTTTTTTTTAATATCCCCAAAACAAAAACAAATAACACTTGTGTTTTGGAGAAAACAAATTGAGACAGATGTGTTTTGTCATTAAAAACAGGGGAATAAGGACCAAAAGTTTAGACCTGCTAATTTTAAAATAAAAATATGTACTTTTTTTTGGGGGGGGGGGTTTAAAAAAAAAAAATCATACAATTTGACAAAAACGTTACTTGGTTTTAGCAAATATTACTTTGTGCGAGCTGCTTTCAATAAAAGAAGAAACGGTGGAAAAATGTTTGTTGGGGATTCAAATAAAAAACACGATACATGCTTTTCAATGAAATGCACCAGTTTCTTACGTTATATAGAGATGGAACCCATGAAAGACACCTATCTGATCAGGCAGTCACTACGATTATTACATGTTCATCACTTGAGGCTACAGTTAAAAACTATCCGTCTCGTCCCATTATTTCTACTCTGAAAGCTACATTTTCATCACAATAGTCTCTTTTGTAAATTATACCACTGCGTATAAAATTAGAACTATTTAAAAGGGGAAGATTCAAGTTTTCACGAATGCTTTCTCTTTGATTAAACTCTAAAGGTCGAGGAAAATAAGTGTGCTTCCCAGGGTGGATGCCATATTAACAAATGAACAAGGTGCACATTTTTCACTCAATTTTACCGATCACCAAACAAAACAAAATAAAAATGGAAGACGTCAAAATCACAGATTGTCTCGGGTGCGTGTCTTTTGTGGACTTCAGCTGCAATTCTAACGCGTCTCCCTGCAGCAGAGCATTATGAGCTTCTAAGTATGGCCTCACAACTACACACCTAACCTGCACGTCGGGCCCCTCGCTTCCTGTTTGAACGCTAACGTCCCCGCCACAGCTCGAGTGAGGTGGCACGCGTCGTTTAAACATTTATCCAGGGTCCTACTAGCGCACTGCATCGTTCCAAGTACTCGAATGCTCTTTGTCACTTGTAAGACAATTCCACGCAATAGCAGAATCTTTTCGGCTACTGCCTCTGTCTATTGTAAGACATTTCTGCTACTCATACTAATGTGGACTTGTTCTTCAAGCGTGCAGTAATGCATACACTGTAGTGGAAAATGACCACTAGTAAGACTAACTTGGGCGCTGAATTATCTTACAAGGATAAAAAGAGTACTGGTAGATGAACATTTCAATGCACGAGTAGAATGTTGAATAAAAATGCTAAAAACGGCTTTCCATAGAGACAAGATAGGATGGCGCTTATTTCCCCTCGTTCTATTCAAGTCGATGAAAATGGGGAACACACACACACACACACACACACACACACACACAAAGATCTTCCACACAAAAACAAAACCCAGACTGAGGCCTTTGAGCTTAGTCATGAGTTATAATTTAGGAAAAAAACAAAATGGCAGTTTTGGCGTCTACTCCACCAGGGGGTCCTCGGCCTTGATGGCCTCGAGCGGCGTGCCCGAGTTGGACAGATCTGAGCCGTCATCTTTGGAGAGCTCGTCGTGCGGAAGCATCAGGGCGGCGCCCCCAGGCAGCCCCGCCAGGCCGCCCTGCGTGAAGCACAGGTGCTTGATGACCTCGTTGGGGCTGGAGAAAGTGGTGGCGCAAATGTTACACTTGTACGGCTTGGACGTGGCCAGGAACATGGCCTCCATTTGGCTGCTGTCGTCACCGGCCGCGCACAGCTCCATGCTCTGGCGGTCCACCAGCGTGTAGGCGTCGGCGCCCTGGTTGAGGCACACGTGGCGGGCGGCCTGGTTGGCGCGGCAGAAGCTCTTGCCGCAGGCGCTGCACTTGAAAGGCTTACCTGTGTGGATGTACATGTGCTCGCGCCAGTGGCTCTTCTGGATGAACTTGCGGCCGCACGTGCAGCACTCGTATTTCCGCCGCTTCAGCTCGCGGTCCAGGTCGCCGTTCTCCAGGTTGTCGATGTCTGCGATGTCCGAGGGGGGCGGCGTGTCCGCCTGGGAGATCGGGATGCCCGCGCCCCAGCCGGAGGTGGATACCTCGGCGCGGGGCGAGTCCGAGTTGTTGCCGGAGGCGAGCGTCTGCTCGCTGTCGCTGACGATCTCCACTGCGGCGACTCGGCTCGCCTTCAGGAGCGCCTCGGCCTCTGCCGCGCTCTGCTCGGCGACAGTTACGGGCGAGAGGGCGTTGTGGTTCTCCGCCGCCTGGGCGTGCTGCAGCAGGTGCTCCCTCAGCAGGCTCCTCTGGTTGAAGCGACTCCGGCACAGGTGGCAGGAGTAGTGCTTCCGGAAGGACGAGCTCCTCTTCATGATGCTGGGCTTCACGTGCAGGATGGCGTTGGCGGAGCCGCCCCCGTCCATGCTCGGGGACTCCGACGCTGCCTCCTCTTCGGTGGGCTGAACCCCGCTGGTGGACGCCTCCGCTTCCGGAGGGGAAGCGGCCGGCTTGGCCGCCGCCGCCAGGGACGGGTACTGGGCCTCCGAGCCCAGCGTCTCCATGTCAATGGGCGAGGAAAGCGGCAAGCGAGCGGACAGCGCCGCCTTCTGGTCGGCGATTTGGATGCCGTAGAGGGAGGTGGAGAGGTTGATGCTCTGCTCCGGGTGCGCGTACACCGACTGGCTGGCCTCCTGCAGCAGAGGGTAGGCGTGCAGGAAGCGGACGCCTTGCTCCAGACGCGTGGGGTCGATGAGCTGCGGGGCCAGCTTGCCTGTGTACATCAGGTTGAGCAGGTAGCTGAAGATGTCAGGCTGGATGTCCGTCGCCTTCAGACGCACGCAGTCACTGAAACAACATCGGACATGAGTGTCCTTCAGTTGGGGCTCGTGTAGAAAAACACGTGCTCTTAAACATGCAGTCAACAGTTTACTTTGACAAAGTTGTGGACTACATCAGAGGTGGAAGAAGTATGGCCCATTTAAAAAAAAAAAAAATCTGGCAGAGGATTGACATTATAAACTGTCCTGTCACATTTGTTGCATTAATTTAGCCATCTAGCCAGGGTGCGGAATCGATTGGTGAATAATGACGTCTTGAAGCAACATGGAGTGAATTGACTAATGTGGCTGCAAACTCGTATTGGGGCTCTTGTTGAGAAAATTTCAAATCGGGATTGTCAGTAGCTTCTTTGCACAACAGTAAAATAGCACACCGCTAGCTAAAGGTGGTTGCTTCACTCGTTCTTGAAGAAAATTGATGACATGAAAATGTAATTTTTTTTTTTTACTTGCGACAAGGCATCCACACTGTTTATTGTTCTTGATTGTGTGTGTGTGTGTGTGTGTGTGTGTGTGTGTGTGTGTGTATATGTGTGTGAACACACAGTTTCTTGTACCTGTCCTGGTGAATAAAGAGCATTCTGAAGTAGTTAGAGAAGGCGGCGAGCACGGCCTTGTGGGCTTTAAAGAAGACATCTCCGATGGCCACGGTGCAGTCGCACAGGAAGCCAAACTCTCTCTGAGCGTTGAGCTGCTGCAGCAGGATAAGACCGTGGTTGGCCAACTCCATTCTTCAACCTGCAAGCACACACGAGCACACGCGCGCCAGTCAAGTTTCCTGTCTGCGACGAGACCGGAGGCGACAGCGACCGCACGGGGCGGGGTGTGGGGGATGATTTTTGAAAGGCTCCAGAGCTTAACGGCAGAGCGGCGGCTCAGCAAACTCCTTCGAGAATTTGTGTTCAAAAGTGACGTGCACACTGAGCTGATTATGAACATTTGATTTCCTGAGCAGTGGCGCTCATATGATCAGTGTGGTCAAGCGCCTGTCACACCAGGATTGGTTCAGATAGAACCCCACTGTCAAGTTGCTGGACAAACGGACCCATTTAAAAGTTAAAGAAATAAACAAGCAAAAAGTGTTTTTTTGTTGTTTTTTTCTGTAACGATAATGTTTTAGGTTTCGGACACAATTGCATAATGAACACGCCCCAGGTCAAATTGCCTCAGGAGCATTATGCTGCTCCCGAGCATAACAGGAGTGTTATAAGTAAAAGTTAAAAAGCACAATTCAGTGCTTAGTGAAAAGAAAGGAGAAAAAAAAATGACATTTATTAGACGACATGTCATGAAAATGACAGGCGACCATCCAGCATCATGAAGTGCTTTAAAAGGGACTGTTACGACTTCAATGAGCTCTCGACTTTTTTTTTTTTTTTTTTATCATTTTGAAAAGGAATGAAACATTTCACACCGAATTTACCCCCTTTAGAGACAAATTAGATTCTACGAATGGGCTTTCAACCACTGCAGCAAATTTTCGTGTTCAGGAATGCAAGTAAACAACATTTTCTCATGAAAAATATCATTTGGGTCTCACATCTTCGGCAGTCCGGCCTAGGAATTGTTTCCAGAAACATAAAAGTATTATTTTAGTCATTTAGGCAATCCAGGCCTTGTTTGCTTTCAGCAACTGTGGCATACGTGATATATTTGATGGTGGGATAATCCTTTTTTTTTTTTTGTAAGGACTGTAGTTGCGTCGAGGTCAAAACCATACATAAAATATTGTTGCCTCCAAACATACATTCACCTTAGCTCCTAAATACGAGGTGCAGAAGTTCTAAATCGTCTTTACTGCTCCATTTACACGACAGTAAGTTCCCGGCGGGCCGCTGTGGACAAAACAGGACGAATGTGAGAAAACACGGGCGGACGGGGATGAGAAAACGTGACAGGCCGTGACTGCTGCGAATGCCTGGCCCGATTTTTAAACCGCCCAAAAACTTGCACGTGGAGATGAGAAACTAACGGTTGTCAGTCACAGGAGAACGGGGGCGAATGCAACAAAAGCTGACAGAAGGTCATAGAGCAAACAAAACTTGCACTCAGAGTCGGGACATCAGAATGTGACATGACGGGAGGGGAACGTGCGAGCATCCGTGGCAGGCCGCCTTTGAGCATCCGGTACTCAGCGGAACAAACTAAAGACACCAAGCTCATCAGTTCCAACAACTGCATGTAAGTTTATGTCATTTGGGTAAGTCACCACTTTGCCATGGTCTGGAAGAAGACCACCAGATTTAGAGGAAATCAACTTACCAAGCTTCTCAGTCCAAAGACTTTTGCCCAAGCACGACTCTGTTTTTGCCATTAAGGCTTTTGGGGTCGTGTGAAGTCAATCTCACGGGACATGTCAGAGCCCCATGTATCCCCGCTGACCAATCGAGACGAGTTGCCGTCGACCCCCCCCGAGGTCATTGGGAGGACTGGGGACGGCTTGGGGCCATCACATGATCAGGGCAGAGGGCGTCGCCCCACATTCCTGAGACAGAAACTGGTTCTAAAATCAGCCACCATCTCCACCCCACCCCACGCCCTTGTGGAGGAGGATGACGGACCGGCACTTTCTCTGGACAGGAAGACAGAGCAAGATGGACCATAACGTGCAGTGCAAAACCGTGCTACGTCACCAAGGGTGACCGACTATGGGACGCTTGACACCAATCTTTTTCAGCAAGATAGATAAAAACTGTCGTTTTGGTCTTCGTAGTAGAATTTGCAGTAGCGGCACAAATACGAGCAGTATCCGTAGCAGACGCGTCAGGGGTCATGTTTGTATTTTACGACCGGGACCAGCTATCTTCATCCACATAGGACATGTAGAGAATGCTGACAAAAGGTATTCAAACTTTACCTGCTGCCATCCGCTGGCCTGGCATGCATACTACAGTTGTTGTTGTTTTTTTTCCGTCGTCCGAAACATTGATCACCATTGATAATTTACTCTCCTGGTGAATTAGACAGCATTACTTATAAACCGGAGACTTATTGTACACAACAGCCCATCTCGCCATCTGCCTCCACCAGATGGTCGCACACCCGGAGTGCGGTGCTGCTACCCTCGGGTCTCTCTCCTCCCCGTTAAAAAAAAAAAAGGGGGGGTGGGGGAGATGCCTGCCACTGTGGCCAAGTGTTTGCTTATGGGGGTCTAAAAAAATATCCTTTTAAAAAGGACTTTCTTGTCAATCCAAACACAAATATGGAGTGTTTTGTGCTTGGCTGGAGTCTTTCTCAGTTGACTGGGGGCAATCCATGGAAGTAAGCGTGTATTTAAATGACACCCCGGGGTCTTTTCAAGTTTAGTCCCGCTCTGCCGTGACCGGTGTGCGATTTGTCCAGTTTTGCCACATTTCTCACGTTAAACTCGAGTCTATAGCAATTGGTTGGTCACGTTCAAACACGTGTGGTGGTCTCAACTGTTCATTCTGTTACAGACCGACACGGCGTGTGGTTTCCGACGGGTTATAACGCTGGGCCCAGCAAGGGAGATTTGTTTCGGTCTACCATTGCCAACAGCCCAGTTGATCGTATAATGGCAATCGTCGACTTATGGAATATTTTTGGGCTATTTTCTGTGGAATAAAAAATATTTACGGCATCTCACCATAGAATCTTGACCGTTTTCAAAACAAAGTAGCAGGATACGGGAAACAATCAAGGCACCGGAGTGACGTCTATGAACGACTTCTTTGCTCAACCAACAGATCAAAACCAAAACATCAACTTCCGGCCACTTGGACAACAGGAACAGGAACCAACAAAATTTGACTTCAGCCACATTTCAGTGATCTGCTTAAAAAAATGTTGCCTGACTGTCCAGTTTTGGATAAAATGCTTTTACCGATGTCCTTTTTTTTTTTTTTAGCTCAGATTCAATGATGAATCTGTTTTCCTACAATAGTCAAAAGCTTTGATTGCATACATAATATGTTTCGCTTGCTAAAAACACAAAGATGATATTCACCGGACTTTCACAAATAGTCACTAGTGGTATTTATTTACTCAAAAGGGTGGTGATGGTGGTGGTGGTCAGGTTTTGGGGGGTTGGGTTGGTGAGTCGAGGCAGCTTTCGTTTGAACGCATTTATCGAATTTTAAAGCAATGTTTTAATTTATGTTATGCAAGAGTGAGAAGGCAAGATCAAGTCAGATTGTGTTTGCAAGGTTGACAAGCTTGTTTTGGGTCGCAAAAGAGTTGAAATGCAGTTGACAGTAGATGATTTATGGTATGTGTGCGCAAACAAAAGCCTCTGAGATCATTATTTACCTGTTTTTTTGGTTTGTTTTTTTTTTTTTTGAAAGGGGTGGGCTTTTATTTGATTGATCTTAAGTGAGTGATGCACCCAGCGAAAAAGGCTGCGTCTGCACGATACGAGTTGTGTCCAGAAAGTTCCAGGACTGGCGTCACAACAGAAATGTTCCAAACCCACACAACGTTTCCCCCTTTGATGTGGGCCAGATAATTAACCAGCAAGTCTAAAAGGATGTCCTGCATCATTTAGTGAGAAAAGGGGAGAATTGAGGCAGGAAAACTTGTGGCTGCTTCACCGTGACAATGCATCTACATACATTACTTTGAGCACCTGACAGTTCCTGGCCATGAAGAATAATGAACCACTTGAGCAACCTCTCTACATACCTGACCTGGCTCAGAGTGATTACATACCTGACCTGCCTCCGAGCGATTCTTTGCTCTTTCCCAAGATTGATGGGTTCATGAAGACATGGACGACACCAAGAAGGTCGTGACAACAGAGCGGCAGAGGATTCTGGAAGAATGCTTCCAGGGTTGCATGAAGGCACAGCAGAGAAGGCCAGGAATGTGCATTCAACTCCAGGGGGATTCATTAGCAGAGGAAAACCTTTAATTTCAATAGTGTGGCTTTGAAATATATCTTCTGTAAGACCACTCCTGGAACTTCTCCGATACATTTCCTAAGATTCAAGTCACATAATTCCGATTTTACGCTTTCAAGTAGCGAAACTGGGACATGCGTCATGGCAGCGTAAATGGGGATGGGGGACATGAAGTTGGAAGTTGCCGATTAGAGTCAGGCCGAGTTGAGTGTTTTGAGTCACAAGCGTAGTCGTGGAATGAATTACACTCATCCCAAGGTGCCACTGTTTCATTTTAAACTCTATGAAGAGGCAGATTTTTCATTTTCAGTTATTCCATTTAATCTGAAATCATCACATATACAGTGTAAATGCCATGGAGGACCCAGCCTACGAGTTTGGACACAGCTAAAGACAACCTTTTAACACTCATATTGTCAACAAGGGCCAATTTAGAGTCTTCAATCAATCTTTTATTTTTGGTTTTGGGAGTGTGGGAGTAGAGAAAATCCACAAAAGCTTGGAGCCAGATTCGAACCCGGGACCACTCAACTTTGAGGCAGACACAAATTGCATCGCAATAATTTAATCCCACTGGAGGAAAATGTTGTTTTGCACCTGTCTGACAAGCTCAATTTGAATTCAAATGATTCTTTCAATAGAATTAGTTTAGACAGGACCCCAGTTGTGTTAGTAAGACAATTGTTTGTAGATGGCATAGCGCCGCCCCTGCTGAGAGGCAGACACGTGGAGAACTCACTTCCGTAGTACGACTTTAAATTTATCCTCACCGCAAACATGTATCAAGTGTAAGGCAGCAGGTGAGTTGGGCGTGAATGTGTTTTTTTTTTTTAAGGCGACGGAACGGTGCGAGAATGAGAAGGCAAACGGCAGATTAGACACGCTGAAAAGCGGGACACTACACCGACCACAGCGCGCCGTGCCCGCCACCGCCTCTCGGTGTGCTACAAGCTAGCGCCAGAAGCGGACGTACGCGCACGCGCAGCAAGCACACAGACAACCACGTAAAGAGGCAGGCGCGCGCACGCACGGACGAACGGACGTGAGGGGGATGGGGTTGCGAACGACCACGAACTTCTCTGTATGACGAGCACACTCTCAAAATAAATAAAAACACAATAAATAAATAAAACATAACGGTGCTTCAGTTGTTAGTCAATGATCGTGTTCGTGTGTCGCCAGCTTATTACCGTATCCGCTGCTCGTCCGTCGAAATTGTCGTCGCCTTGACACCACCGCCGCTTGATTTTTGTGGTTGTTTGTCACCGGGCGGGGACACGTCCGTCCTCTCCGGGCTCCTAGCAGCTTTGTAAGCTGCTCGCTCGGCGGCGGAGAGGGTCGTCGGTTGTTTTCCGGTTAGGGGGTTTTACGTTACAATCACATGACTGTGGCGAAGGAGCCCAGCCAAATGCGACCGTTGCAAGGATCCGTTGGCCAAGGGGGCGGTCGCGGTAACGTTAATTCTAACCCCCTCTTCCGCCCCCCACCTACACACACGCCACCAGTCCAAGCGGTGTCCTTTTTTTTTGTTGTTGTTTTAAACCGCCGTTGGAGCCAAAAAAGCCCCGCGGAGACGAGCCGGCGACTTTAAGCCAGGGCGGCTACATGGTGGCTGCTAACTCATTCATCCGACTACAACGTGCCACTATTTGTTTTTAATGCTTAATTAAATATCATATGCAATTTCTTAAAGGGCCCCCCCGCACCGCAAAACAGTAGCAAACAATTTCGCCTTTGTGTCTATTTGAATTAGAACAGAATACTTGATAGCATCTCATAATTAAATTACCCACTGACACACTGAATATGTGAGACCTGACCCCCGTCTCATCTGAAGATCGTCCTTAACAATCCTCAATACTGTTTCCACAAACTCCTGTGCTGCAAGATCCGACCACTTCTACCACTTCCAGTTAATCATTTTATGCAGATAGTTAAATATGTTTGGTCTGACTGCAAAAGCGTTGAAAAGGCACTCTTATACAGTAGTTGTTTACTAGTTCCATGCTGATTTTATTGCCCATGTCTTGTTAAAGAACATCCATTCTCATGCACAGACAGCCTCGAGAAGCACAAAAACTTAGGTGCATGCCAGTACACAAATTCAGGATACTGCATATTGGGTACTTTTAAAGTCTTACTTGATTTAGCCTTACTTGATTTCAGAAATTAATTGAGAATGAATAAATAAAACAGGAACTGATATTTTAAAAACTCTGGACCAGGGGTAACCTAAAGCGGAGTACACAGACAACCACTCACGTTATCACCAAGTCTAAATTGAACTAAATATTGAACATATCGAACGTTTATGAATGTCAACTCACCGTTTTCCAAGAAAATCGGGGAACGATTACCCAGAACAAATCGCACTCCGCTTGATAGTTTTTATTGAGGATAATCTTTAAAAGTCATCTGACAATGAGGCCTTTGCTGAATTTGATCACGAGGGGCTGAAAATTCTCAAATTCGTCCCAAATTTGGGTATGCGCGAACCCCGCTAAAAGCCCGTGGGCGAGAGGATTTGATCCAGTTGGCAATTCAATTCTACAAAACACGAACTAAAAAATTCTGCTGGACCTTGGTCCCATCATTGCATATTTGCTCCTGAATTTAGTTTGGCCCCGAGAGCGCTTCCCATTGAAATGGCCCCTTCTTTGCAACCACTTAATGAAGTCGTGTGTTGTCATCGGAGGCGGCCATTGATTGGCATTATTCTTTTGGAAAACAGTGAGCCATTCAGACCGGGGACAGGGAGTCCACAGGACGCCGGGCTGCAGCCGCTTGGCGGGCCGGAAAAGTCGGGTATGTAAAAAGAGACATGGGCGGGAGGGACTGTCCTCTGAAGCGGGGCCCTGTTGTTTGTCCTATCAACAAACAACATCTGATCATGTCTGTGACTAGAGGCCTGTGAGGCAAGGAGGCGCACAAAACCTTTGACAAACAAAAGCACCGGTGGAGCGGTGTTACATTTAAATGGAAACGGGACAAAAACAACAACAACAAAAAAAGCTTGTTTACTTATGCTGGCGTGCTCCCAGCAGGTAGCCGAAGCACTAACACCCACTGACTCGGGTTTTGCTTTAACCTCCTTATAGTCATCCTCGCTATCTGAAGACAGCGAGCGTCACACGGGATTGTCCCACCACTAAATTGATTTTGGATCCATCCATAAAACCAACGGCATAGCCTGCAAAAACTCAGCGGACAGAAGCGTGAAATTAGCCTGACGTCAGCACGCAACTGTGTGACAGCACCTCCATTGCCGCGGATGCAACCGGGTCAACGCCACAAGCATGTGCCGGAACACCTGTTTAAACAGGACCTTTCACGTTCAACCGTTGCCCTCCCCCCAACTCCGCGTCCTTTGGAAACCGGAGTGGTGAGTCACTCCCCTCTCGGTCTAAAAAAAAAAAAAAAAAACACACACAAACAGATCCGGCTAGGCTGCAGCCCGGTGGGGGGAAGGGAGGCCCGGCCCGGTGGTGGCTGAACACCGGAGGTGGACGCAGCTGGACTCCCACACTCAAGGCCCCCCTAACATCCTGACAATGGGCCGGCGTGTTCCCATAGTGATGGCGTCAGAATCAATTGATATGCCTATATTTTCTAGACAAGCAGGCAGGGTAGCCTGAGGCCAATCGCTTGGTCACGCAGAGACACTCGGGAGCGACGAGGAACGTCCCAGTCCCAAATGAATTGCGCTGTTTTTCAACAGATGATTTGTTTTCCATGGTCGGCTCTATTTGGAAATTCGACAAAAACGCAAGCGGTTAACTGCATCCCGACATGCAAATACTGTGTACCACACACTGATGTGTACTTCGCTACATTAATTTCTTACCCTTATCAAAATATGAGCACTACCCCACCTTCCTTCCTTTCCCGCCAAAAAAAGCCCCCGGGGGTTCAAAATCTGCAATTTCCTGATAGGACCAACCCGCGTTTCCCTGACAACCGTTGCCACGGAGAACTCGGGATGCCCCAAGATGAGGGCCGCAAATGTATGTGAAGTGCGGCACTTTTAGCAAGCGACTATAACTTACGTAATCGTGTTATTTATTTATAAAACCAACAAACAAACGTGTTCAATGTTTTTCCAGCAACGGTTACGTTGGTGGCCGCTAAGTGGCAGCAAAGCACCATAAAAGAAACAACTCGAACGTTTCTGTCATTCTAGAAACAAAAAAGCTTAACAACAGTTGTTCTATTTGTCCTCTGGAACTACATAATTGGGGTCAAAAAAATATTGGTAATAATTTCCGAATGACTAATTTTAACACAAACACGCCAACGCTTATGTTTTGACGACTTTTAAATAAAGTTGTGAAATTGATGAGTAAGTCAGCTCCTACAAACATGGCGGCCGACCAGACTGGCGACGTAGTTCCTTCTTCTCTGTCAGCTAAAGTAGTTGGGTATGAAGGGTGACAGCTTCTTGAAATACGTTTCCGTGATTCTAAACAACGTAGTGTAATGTCATTATTCATTATCGTGTCTATTAACGCGTAATTAATGTCGAGGCGAACGTAGTCGAACGAGAAGTAGCTTTAGCATTCAGCTGCCAGTGTTGCACTGCACGACTGGCTGTTAACGTGAGGCGATACAAATCCAAATATTGATGTTCGGAATTGTACAAATCATGTCCTGCTAAAGTGTTCAAACCTACTGAAGCATGCTGCAAAGTAGCTCGGCACGGCTGATGCCCCGAGTTAGCATTTAAATTGAATGCTGTGTATCTTCTTCCTTATAGGTCGTTTGCTTACTTGACTGTGAGAGACCGATTGCCCACCATCCTCACTAAAGTCATAGACACAATCCATCGCAACAAAAACAAGTTTTTTGAAGAATATGGGGAGGTAAGGCTACATACAGTACTCCCAACAATTCTGGTGAAAATGGGAGTAGAATCCTTTCAGGTTAACTTTACATAAACGAATATAAAATTGAATGCACATGTGCAATTATTTCATTCACCATTCCATGTTAAGTACAAAGTTTTCGTTTATTGTATTGAATGTGTAATATCTGACCTGCTTTGTGAACTCTTGACGTTAGGAAGGAATCCAAGCAGAGAAGCAAACCATTTCTCTGCTGTCCAAGCTGAGGAACGAGCTGCAAACAGACAAACCCATACTCGCCCTGACGGACGGCCTGGAGGACGCAGATTCTTGGAACCGGTACCTGCAGAGACAACAGGGGCAGTGTGGAGGCCAGGAGGTGGTCAGCTGGTTCAAATCGCCGTGGCTATATGTGGAGTGCTACATGTACCGTCGGATACGGGAGGCCCTCTGGCTCAAGTGAGAAGCACACACACCGTCACACATTCTTGCGTATTGTCATGTTGACACAATGCTGGGTAGTCATCGATGATGTTGCTGTTTCCAGCCCTCCCATCAGTGGCTACGACGTCTTCAATGAGGGGAAAACACGGAGCTTCTTTGAATCTCAGCAGGCTATCATGGCTTTATGCACTTACTTCGAGGCCGTCGACAAAAAAACGGAAGACATCTCAGAAAATCAACTTAGGGAGTATTTCAACAAACTGCTCCAGGTCAGGAAAACCAAATGACACTCACACATTGAATGCCAAATTGTTGACCATGCTTAATTGACTCTTTAAAAGGTTTGCCTTTGGGGGAACAAATGTGATCTGTCGATCTCTGCCGGCGTGGACAATTCGCAGAAGATCAGTCCCATCGACTCTCTACTCGCCCTGCAGACGTTCATCTTAGTGGACGACTCTGACGCCGTGTGGTCGACGCTCATTTCTGCCCGGCAACAGAGACAGTCAGGGAAAAGGAGCTCTGGCCGAGTGGACTTTGTTCTGGATAACGCCGGCTTTGAGTTGGTCACCGACTTGGTCCTGGCCGATTTCCTGGTGTCCTCCGGTCTGGCTGGGGAGGTCCACTTCCACGGCAAATCCTTCCCGTGGTTCGTCTCTGACGTGACGGCCGAAGATTTTCAATGGACCATCCGTCAGACCATGGCGGCCAATCACAGGTGGATGTCACAGAGAGGGCTGCGCTGGCAGCAATACGTGAAGGAGGGCGTGTGGTCTTATCATGACCATCCCTTCTGGACGCAGCCCAACGAGTTTTGCGACATGGCAGCCGACGCCCCGGACCTGTACGCCGCTCTGCAGGTGGCGGACTTGTTGCTGTTCAAAGGCGATCTCAATTACAGGAAGCTGGCAGGAGATCGCGACTGGGACCACACGGTGGACTTTGACACTGCACTGAGGGGATTCGGACCGGCACCGCTGTGCAGTTTGAGGACTCTTAAGGCGAACATTCAAGTGGGTCTGCAGCCGGGCCAGGGGAGCAAGCTGAGCTCTCAAGACCCAGACTGGATGACCTGTGGAAAGTATGCCGTGATTCAGTTCTACAGTCCAAACTCGGATCGGCAAGACTGACCTCACAATCAACGATCAACTCTCGCCTTCAAAGCCATAACATGATGATGTCATTGTCACTTTACTGTTTCATTGGCAAAGCACTGAACAAATTGTACATTTTCATCTCTCTCAGGAAGTTGTTACACTTCAAGGAGACGTTAAAATAAATAAATAAAAAATCAGTCAGGCATGTTTTAGACTTCAAGGAGACGTTAAAATAAATAAATAAATAAATAAAAAATCAGTCAGGCATGTTTTAAAATGCCAATTTAAAAAAAATGGAAAGAACAAATGAACCAAGTCATGAAACTATCAAATGTGTGCTACGTCTTCATGTTTACAGGTGATCAAGTTAACAAAAGTAAGCTTCAGGTTGTTTGATTCTACTTTACTGAAGGAGAATGTTTTCATTAGATTGTTACTAAAATGTACAAAAATTGTGTGGGTGGTGGTGGTGATGGGGTAGTGGACTGAAACAACATGCAGTAAAGGCAGCCAACAGTGCACGCAACAAACCGGCGACTCGCTGACTGATCAAAATGCATGTCTGCACTTCAAGCCCTTATTGCCACTGGATTCCTGGCGAGATCTTATCCTTCTAATGACCGACTTTTGATCAAATAAAAGAGCTGCAGCGACTCGAGTTTGTCTCCTCCCTGATCCCTGTTGTCATTTTACACACGTGAAATATGGCCTGAAATATTGACCTCATTTGCATTCAAATTCCCCTCTTACGAAAGTAGCGCTTTTTGATGTCAACAAGACAAAAAAAAAAAAAAAAAACCTGTTACGTCAGCACAACGCAGCCAAGTAGCGAAAGCTAAAAGTGACACAGCTGTACAAATGCCCCATTAATCTTCACTCGTCGTGTTTTTATTCTGCCGTAACAGTTGACATGTTGACCTCCTATATTCGAGGTCAGGTTAGACTCGACTCTGGAGCGCCGCCCAACTGCTGTAGATGCAAAAACGTGCATGACAATGCTAAAGGAGCTTTAAGTGGCCCGAAAATGAGCCAATTAGGTGATTTGGTTGGCTCTCCGTATTTTCTTGCAATCTAATACGACTTCATTTTGTCCCCCTCTGGGGAAATGCAATGAAATATATATATCATCATCAGGGCTACTTGTTTTCCACTTGACCTGACATGTTCTGAAAATGGGGCTGTTTACTCAAGAAAGAGATGGGAAAATGAAGCCTCTGCCAAAATGCTGAGCTCTTCCTCTCTCGCCGGAGGTCGGCAGTCGCTTTCGACGCTCGCACGAGAACGAACGTGGCTGACAGGTAAGCAAGCCCGCGTGCAAATAGGCACGTTTTAATTCAAGCGCCCGATTGTTTGGTATTTTATAATCTCTCGCAGGGTTGAGGCAGCAAGCCTTCTTACAGCTTGTTACCGGTTTTCGGCAGCGCAAGGCTTTTTCTTTACCTTGACATGCGGCACCGACACGTGCAAGGACTCCTGACGCGTGGAGTAACTTTGAGGGTCTTTTGTTCGCGTGACTACTGCTGTCTCTTTGTTTGCTCTGCGGTCGGTAGAATAGCCACAAGTTGGCATCATGGTCCAAATAAAGCTGTATTAATGTCATGAAACGATGAGGAATACAAAATACTCAGTATCTCTTTGATTCCATCATCGGGAGTGGATTGTGTAATTACTGGCTGGCGAAATGAGATTTGACCTCCTGCGTTGTTTGCTGTGTTATGGTGACCTGGCGCTCAAACGCACCGCCTCCATCGATTTGACTGCATCTTTTAATTTGTTTATCCTCTTTTTTTCCTTTTTTTTTTCCACCCTCCCCACTGTTCCACCGTTTCCACTTCGCCCAAGCGAGTCGAGCTGAATGAGCGCGAGTCGAAGGGATGAACGAAACGAGCCCCGCGGCAGAGAGGACGCCTGTCGTTTAAAGAGGTGAGCGGCGCTTTTTGTCGTCTTGTTGCTTTCAGGCCGCGTGGCTTGTACGCCGCCCGTCCTCGTCTGCGCTGTGATTTGATTTACCCGAGTCTCAGGTGTGTTCAATAACGCGGCCGCTTCTACGTCAATGACAAAGATCAGCTAAATGAACTATGAATATTCCGAGAGCATCCTTTCCTGCATAAAACAAAGCTGGCGGAAGAGGAGGAAGAGAGGAGATGATGTGGCGGCGTGGGACGGGACAGTCAAGTTCTACGGGAAGCACGACTTCCATTTTGTCCGGCTTGGTCTATTTGTCTTCCCATCCTGACTAGACAACCCTCCTAAACATTAGAGGAAAGACGGGCAGGAAAGGAGGTTGGCAGTTGTATTCTGGTGGGAGTCCGGGGGGGGGGGGGCAGCTGAAGGAGAGGCAGGAAAAGCAGGGAT